ACCCATCTTCTGCTAACTCATACGCAGATAAGGAATGGCCCTCCGGAGCCCTCCGGGGAGGTTATTCTCTCTTCTACTAAATTACCCAAGCAGCTTTCCACGCAGCTTGAATATTCAAAGTCAATGAGTAGGGGGGAATAGTTAGGGGTTGGCAGGTATCTGGCTCCAGAGTGAGGTGGTTCCCCCTCCTCTCTAAGGCCCTGCTCAGTCAATCCCCTGGATTTCAGGGCAATCAATGCTGGCAGGCCCCCCGCAACTTTTCTCGGATGGTTCCCAACATTCAATTTGTACATGGGACGCTGGACCCGTTTTCCAGCAGGTGTTGCCCCCCACCAATAGATGGGGCCTCCCCCCAGGTGCTAGCGGTGTCTGCTCTTATCAGCACCACTAGCAACGGCAGGGGTGTTTTGTTAAAAAAAAAAAAAAAAAAAAGATGTTGTGATTGTCAATATTGCTCTTGTTGCCGCTGTTGATGTTGTTGATGTTGTTGACGTTGTAGATGTTGTTGATGTTGTTGATGCTGTCCATGTCACACTAACCTGGCCTTCAGATGAGAGCAACTCACCTGGTGGACTACCCACGTCTCCCCTTGCTAGAACCTGGGCAAACATGTCTTTCACGTGCGCCAGCATCCCAGCACACTCGTGTAGGGCAGTCATCCCCTGTGCTCTTCTATCATATCCAACTGTGGAAGAAAGATCTGCTCATACAGTTCCTCTTCCCACCTATCGTAGATCTCCTCTCCCTCCAACAAGATGTCATCTGGTAGGTTGCCATATTCTTGACTCAGCAACGCGTGCATCTCCTCCAGCTGTGGTTTATACGAGGTCACAATGAACAGTGCAGAATCTGCCTGCACAGGCTGCACGGCAGGAGGGGTTTCCCACAGCCCCCCATCAGGCATGGTCCCCGTGTCCATCTCTGCCGTCATTATTGATGTCAGAAGCTAACACAGCTGCGCCGCAATCACGTTTTTTCAACAAATTTCCCAGCTGGCGCTGCCCCTGTCCGCAAGTCGTGGGACACCCACGTCACCAACAGCAGCTGTCACATGGCAATCAGGACACCACGCGCGTCTGCCGGGCGCGCGCACAGGCCTAGCGGCACCGGGCCTTGCAGGTCGGGCAGCGTCAGGGCGCCAGCGCTAGCGCAGACAACCAACTAAGTTGTAGTGGATGTTGATTGAATGATGATGGACTCAAATGGAGTGACTTTGATTTCCCAGATGCAATTGCACGGGTAATCAGTGAGGTCGTTGTGTGTCGTAACAGTTCACTCATCATATAGGGCCTCACTCCACTACACATCGCTCTACATGCACTTGGACGATTTGAAGGCCAGGTGCATTCTGACGAGTCCAACGTTTTGAATCTACCTGGTGTGTAGTGGAGTGAGGCCCATACCCTAGACCGAGAACAAACCTACCCTACCTGTCCTACCTTCCTTCCCAACCGTACCTTTCTTACCTACCCTACCAACCGTCTTCCCCCAAACATAACGCATAGGCGTTGCAAACGAATACAATTCATAGGCTGTTTTCTACTTGAAAAATAACGCATATGTCTTCTATTTGAACATAACGTATTACATCTTCTATTCGACACAAATGCATTCAATTCGAATCATCTTTTTTTTTTAAGAACTCGAATACAACGCATATGCGTTATGTTCGGGTGACCATCCAGCCTACCCTACGCTACCCTCCTTTTCTTTTTCTTTTTTTTTTTAATGGTGCCATGCTCCAATCTATTTGTGGGGAGCAACACTTGCTTGCAACCGGGCCCGGCCTCCCTTATGAAAGTTACAAAGAACAATTTAAGGTACCGGGGCCATTACCCGGCTTCAGCTGAGAACATTGTAGGAAAATTCAAGCAAAATCATGCACAACTTCCAACCTCAATCCGAGGACCAGCAGATACCCAAGTGTTTTCTTTTGTTTTTTTTCCTGATACCCATCCTTTTTTTTTTTTTCAATAAGAAACTGCCCAAGCAGGCGCTAGGGGTGCTGATAAGAGCAGGCACCACTAAAACTGTCGGGGAGGCTCCATCTATTGGTGGGGAGCAGCACCTGCTGGAAATCGGGTCCAGCATCCCTGTGGAGTACAATGTAGACGATATGTGTGGGCATGATATGTCAATATCCATGCGAGGGCCGGGCGGTAAGCAGCCCAGCCTTCTGTTGCTACGAGTTATCAAATATAATACTGTTGTTGTAACCGTTGACTGTCGATTACTATCTATCTGTTTATTGCACCATGCTATTGTATCTGTTATGATAAACCCTTAAACCCTAATGGCCATCCTTCCTCATATTGCCCGGGCTGTAGTCTTGTGCAGTGTTGTGACAGTGTGAAGCGTATTGTGTTAGTGTGGAGCAGATGTGGGGTGGCTTCCGCCACCCCCCTGTTCCCTCCCTCCCAAATACCCATGATGTATATTACCGTCTAGAGCTCATCCTAGTGTGCTCTCCCTCCCTCCACTACCCAGATCATCATGTCATCAAGGTGTCATTGTACTATCATTGTTGTGTCCACCTGTGTTCCCCTGTGTTAACCTTGCAGCTATTGTCGTCCAGAACCCATCCCAGTGTGATCTTGGCCACCCTCTGTTCCCACCATCCCAAAATTCCAGTCGTCAATGTGAGGTGGCTTCCGCCACCTCCTGTTCCCTCCCTCCCAAATACCCATATCATTGCGTCATTGAGTTGTCATTGTAGTATCAGTCTGTTATCACGTCTAAGCTTTATCTCCATTGTTGTGTCCACCTGTGTTAGCCTTCCAACTGTGGGGCGCGGTCTGTTGTCCACGAACTGTATCACCATTGTTGTGCCCACCTGTGTTCCCGTGTTAGCCTTCCAGCTATCGCCGTCTGAAGCTCATCCCAGTGTGCTCTGGGTCTGTTGTCCGGGCGTGGGTGGTGACTTCGTCTTTTGTCTCCGGGGTGTAATCCCTTCTGCTGCTCCTGTGGTGGGAAGTCCCTGCTTGACCGTCCTTCTGCGAAGAGAATGGCGGTTGGATACGGATGGAGAAGGAGGACGGTGGGTTAGGATTAAGGGAGGGTTTGGGGGACGGTATGGATAGGTCCATGAGGGGGGGCATTTGGGCGGGAGGAGCAGATCCCGGTGTGTAATGGTTATTGTCAGTCCGGGAGGAGGATGAAATTGGTCGGTTGGAATGGGAACTGAAAGTGACTTCTCGGTAAGCGTTCCCATTGTGATTCTGTCATCATCCACTGTTTCCATCGCAGCTGGTTGTCTTGATCCAGTTCGCAGAAAAACATCCAGTTCGCAGAGTTTTTCTGCACTGTCCACCCATCTGGTTTTTTTGTTTTTTTTTTTAACCCGAACAGATGCTAGGGATGCTGGGACGAGCAGGCACCACTAGCTCTATCGGGGAGGCTCCATCTATTGGTGGGGAGCAGCACCTGCTGGAAAACGGGTCCAGTGTCCCTGAACATTGTGGTTGTTTGTATGAATGGACATGTGATTGTAGGAGTATCAGTTAAGATAAACCCTTAAACCCTAGTGACTGTCCTTCTTCCTATTGCCCGGGGTGCAGTCTTGTGGACTGCTGTGACAGTTTGAGGTGTATTGTGTAACTGTGGAGCTGCTGTGGGGTGGCTCCACCATCCCCCTGTCCCCTCCCTCCCAAAACCCATGATGTCTTGTGCAGTGCTGTGACAGTGTGAGGTGTATTGTGTAAATATGAAACTGATGTGGGGTGGCTTCCCCCACCCCCTATTCCCTCCCTCCCAAAACCCATGTATCAACCCATCTGGATTCGACAGGTAATTGAATTGGTTGGGGTTCGAAGAATTAGCCTTTAAAAAAAAAGAAAAAAAAAATCTCATTGGTTTTAATAAAGTGCCCTTTCTTGTTTAAAAAAAAAAAAAAAAAAAAAAGGAACGAGTGTGAGGATTGATCCCTCGCAAGGCCCTTCTCGGGCACACAGATGATCTGGGTTTTGGCCTGCAGCAAGCCTCACACCAGCCCTAAGCGAAGGCGGGCCTGCATAATTGCGAGATTCCTACTTTTGCCATTTTTCATATATGGGGTCTCAGACAGTTGCAGCACGCCAGTTGGTTACAGAGCAAAGCGAGCCTTTCCTGGATCCTTCCAGAAGCAACAGCTGTGCCGTACAGTTGAGCCCACGGCTCAAGTGGTTAACGCCCTGGGCACACACATTCTTAGGCCTGCAAGTCACTCAGCGGCCGCGGCCCAATGAGAAAGCAGCTCCTGTGTAACACACATGCCACGAGCGAATGAGATCGCACCGAACACTTGGAGCATCGCGGGCTACCTGGAAGTTCCTAACTGCACGGCGCCCAGGCCAGTATCTGAAACTGGGCGTGGGCGCAGACACTGGGGCCCTACTGAAAACTACTGGAAACTCGCCCAGCCAGGCCCAGGGCACAGCCAGGGGTGATGAGGAGAGATGTGAGACACGTACCTGACGTATGCTGGTGGTCTGCATTGGCGTTGACGTCACGTACATTGGTCTTCAACTTCGATGTGTTCCTGATGCATCAACGTAGATAGGATATGATAGATAGGCTGAGCAGTGTAGGCTGGGCTCCGGGCGCCACTCAGTATGAGCGACATTGGATGCTATGTTGGTGTGCCCAGAGAGCGTCGGCATTGACATTCAGGTTCATTGTATTGCTCTGTATTTGGATAGTATCTTGGTGCATTGTGCTCTCTGCTTTGGTACATGGCTATCTGGACTTCAGCATGATTTTGCACATTCGTTTTCTGTCTATCGTTCTCGCTCATATTCCTTGCGCACGTTTATTTAACTTTATTCTCCGAATCAATAGGTGCCAGGGAAACTGGTGGGGTTGTGCTTTTTAAATTAAAAAAAAAAAGAGGTGCCAGCCTGCCAGGGAATGGTTTAGGCACCAAGCCTGAGTAAACCAATCCCGTCTGTTTTTCACTTCCCATAACCTTTCAACTTGTCGTTTTATGGCATCTCACAGTTTGTCAGACTTAACTGTTTTTGCAGGATCGTAAACGGCGGCAGCAGCACCTGGCCGCCCTTGTCTTAGGTGGCGGATGCTCCTTACTCGTGGGACGCTACCTGCTGACAGGAGAGGCACCCAGGATCAAATGGAGTGGGCTTCCTATCCCTTTCCTTCTGTTTGGATATGCTGCTTACAACTTTTTTATACTTCAAGAGAAGCACCCCAACATGTATTGGCTCCACCATGGCCTCTGGCACATCACAGGAAACGCCACACTTCTCGCTCTCATTCATCTCAAGTACGTCAACGAATGAAGCTCTGGGGAAATGCCAAAGTGCTGTCCTAGTATTCACATCTTATGCCAAAGTGCTGTCCTAGTATTCACATCTTACATGTCGCGGGGTGATGAGCATCTGAGCGAGGACAAAGCGATCCTCAGCGGAAAATAGAAGGCAGGTAGAGAGAGATAAACAACGACCATTGGCGATCCAATGAATCACCCTCAGGCAGAAGGAGATGGGACATGCTTGTGGGCACCTGTACGACGACAGGTGGGATACCTCTGGGACATGTTTGGAACACACCTGTGGGGCGCCTTGAGGACACCTTCGGAACGTACTTGGGACAATTTTGGGACACACTTATGGGATGCCTTTGGGACACACTCGCGACCAATGTGGGACACATGTGAAAGGTCCCAGGCGGATGATACCTTTGGGACACACATGTGAGACACTGGGATTCATGGGCGGGAACCTGTTGGACAACTGCGGGACAACTGTGGGACAACTATGGAACAAGTGGGGGCACAACTTTGGGACACTTGTGGGGACCTGGCTTAACACTGCAAAGCGTTGTCAAGGTGACCGTGAATAGTTCAAAGAGAAGGCAAATGGATTGCCGTCATCACTAGCGGACGATGCAACCGCTCAGAAAGATGGGAAAGAGACTCAGCCTGATGGAGTGATAATCGAAACCTGACGGGCAAGGAGCACAGAGAACCGATTTTACCCCGCCCAGCTAGTAGCTTGTCACCGGGCAGAGCATGATGAAGCGGTTGTGTCTGAAGCTCAGCACATATGATCTAACAGGTCAAGTGAAGAGGGCATGTCAGAATAGGCCGTCTGTCAAACCAGAGGAAGAGTCGCGGCTTTGCTTTGTTACGTCAGCCCTGGCGTTCTTTTGTTGGTGTACAGAAGAAATGACCACTAAGAGGGATCAATGGGTGGTGCCGTGCCGTTCTTTTGGAGTTGCCGCCGTATCAACGATAAAAAAAGGGGGCACATCATTCAGCAAGGGTTGGAATGGGGGTCCGTAAGGAAGGCCATGGGGGGCTTACATACAGGGACCCACAGAGAGGAGGAACACATCCCTCCCCCCCCCTCCCCTCCCTCCCGAACCCAATCCAATCCAGCAGTTTAGCATCCATAATCTCAATTCTGTGGGGAATGACTTTTCCACAGATGAATAAAAGGTAAAGCCCAACTTTTCACAAGAGGGACAGGCGCTTCGCTTCAACTTACACTTTTTCAGTGTTTGTACGTTCTATGCGCTTCAGTTCTTAAAAAAAGAAAAAAGAAAAAGAGAACTCGAGTTCGAACCATAGTTTAGTTTTGAATGAAGTTGCCTTCTTTAGGGTTCAGACTAGGATTCCAAACTGCTGTGCGCATTTGACAGGGGGGGGATCCTTTAGGTTTAAAAAAAAATGGAGCATCACTTGTATTCACAGCGTCGCATGTGTCTCTGCAACTTCGCATGAAACTTCTTTGAAACTTCTTTGAAACTTCATTCTTTGAAACTTCTTCTCTGCAACTTCTTTGCAAAACTTCCCCGCAGCTGCTCTGCATCTTCGCATGCAAAAGGACACATACCCCAGAGTTCAAAGAAAGAGGGGCAACTCCAGACCATTCTTCTATACCGTTTAATTTAACTTAATTAATAATAACTTAATAAATTAGTATCCATCAGAGATAGTACCTACAGTGCCCCTCTGAAAACTACATATAAGACAAATAAAGAGCACCCAATAGTGCCAATTCAAAGAATTGGAAGCTACCATCACTCCTCAGTTGGTGTCGCCTGCACTGTCATCCGGGTGGGGGTTCTTCGCTCTTGACATTGGGGGCCATTTGGTGGCCAGCAGCCTTTGTGGTAAAAAAAAAAAAAGAAAAAAAAAAAAGAAAAAAAAAGAAAAAGCAGTTTTCATTTAAATCATTTTCACAAATTTTCAGAAGTGATTTTTTTAATACGTTAATGACAGTTGATCTGGTCGCCCCTAGCAAACCTGGGGTCTGTTTTTTTATTTAAAAAAAAAGCAAAAAAAAAGAGCTGGTTGCTGATAACTAATGTGTGGGTTCTGGGTGGGTGTGCTTTGTATATTCGCTAACGACAACGCCGCAAAAGAGGAAGGCTAACAGTCCCCCAGGACATCCGTTAAAATTGGAACGATACAGAGAGTAGTAATTAGCATGACACCTGCGCAAGGATGACATGTACCTCTGGAAGATGATCACAACCACACCCATTCCATAAAAAGGGTCGTGTGGGACACCATTGTGCAGCCCAGAACACAGTGTGGTCTAGGAATAATTGACCCAGAAGAAGAGACCAAGGCGCTGCTTTTCAAATTCTTAACCCGCCTACTCTTAGGGAATAACATCCCATGGGCCCCGTACGCCTGCATCCAGCTGCACTGCATTGCACCCCCCTCTCATCCCTTCTGTCCAGTTCACCCATTGCAATGGTTAACCAATAGGCGCTGGTCCTTGCCCTTGGGCTCACGAAGGCCAGATGACCACGCACCGGAAGGAAGGGCAAAACAGGACCTCAAAGTCGACCCCTTATGGCCAGCAATGGTTAAACTATGGAGAGAAAGAGGGCCGCAGCACACCCACACACCGCCCAGATGGGAAGAAGTAGGTCGCCAACCACTATTCGGACACACGGACATCACGGACATAACCGGCAACCCTTTCTCCCTTCAAGGGACCTCCAAATGGAGGCAGTGGGTCAGAAAAGGGGTGTACACAGTGGGCCACCTCTGCGACGGCCTCGCAAGGAACTGGAAATCTGAGCACTCTCTAAAGAACCTCACAGGCCCATTAAAAAATATGGCCTCTTGCATGACGGAGCTACAAGAAGCCATCCCCTTGGCCTGGATTCAAGCCCTTAAGCCAGCAGTACTTGGCCCAGCTATCGGCCGCAGGCCTTCCCCGTTAACGCGCCGGGGCCTGCGGAGGTCGGCCAAGGGAAGGCCCGGTCGTTGCTTCTTGGTCGGGGCCCGCGAACTACGGGATGTCACCGAAGAAAAAGAAAAAGAAAACACTAAAAAAAAAACGAAAACAAAGAAGAGAAACGAGTGTCATAGGTGTGCCGTAGGGGGGAGAGAGAGAGAGAGAGAGAGAGAGAGAGAGAGAGAGAGAGAGAGAGAGAGAGAGAGAGAGAGAGAGAGAGAGAGAGAGAGAGANGAGAGAGAGAGAGAGAGAGAGAGAGAGAGAGAGAGAGAGAGAGAGAGAGAGAGAGAGAGAGAGAGAGAGAGAGAGAGAGAGAGAGAGAGTGTGTCGCGCCGCTTCGCTACTCTCGAAATGTGCAAAACGAGATTGAATCTTCCGCTAGAACATGGAAAGATACACTGCCGTGATTATTGTCGAATACACTGCCGTGATTATTGTCGAATAATCACGGCAGTGTATCTTTCCATGTTCTAGCGGAAGATTCACTCTCGTTTTGCACATTTCGAGAGTAGCCAAGCGGCGCGACTCTCTCTCTCTCTCTCTCTCTCTCTCTCTCTCTCTCTCTCTCTCTCTCTCTCTCTCTCTCTCTCGTGGTCTCTCTCTCTCCCTGCCTCTCTCCCTCTCTCTCTCTCCCTCCCTCTCTCTCTCTCCCTCTCTCTCTCTCTCTCTGTCTCTCTCTCTCGCGCACTGTGCGGGGTGCTCCAAGCAGCCCGCCGGATGTCATGCCACAGCTATCGTGAAGACAAAAATCATGGCAGTGTATCTTTCCATGTTCTAGCGGGAGATTCACTCTCGTTTTGCACATTTCGAGAGTAGCAGAGGGACCCTTTTTTTCTTTGTTTTTCTTTTTTTTTTGCCTATAATAGACCTAGTGCCCGGTAGTTCGAGCCTCGGCAAGGCTCGGCATACGGATCGGCCAAGGCTCGGACTGGATAGCTGGGCCACGTACTGGTGGTTTAAAACGGGCCCAACGATACAACCAAAAAACTGGGTGGTGCTCACTCAATCTATGCCCATCCCTATGACGGTGTAGGAGGTGCGGAGAAATAATAATGGGAACACAGTATTACACGCCTTCTGTTCGACTTTGCCCGGGGAATGCTGGTCTGTAATACACAGACAAGGAGACCTGGACATACAACGTCCGACATCTGAGGTACCTAGAATCAGAGTAGTGGGGAACACAAAGGATGGGCTTTATCTCTATGAGCCGTCCATTCCCCTTTGCGACCTACCATTCGACCCTGCAGAATGGGAATGGGTAGGGGGTGAGTCTCAGACAATGGCCTTGTGGCAAGACACGGTTAAAAAGGGTTATTGGATAGCCCAGAAACGAGTACAAGTAACACAACAAATCATCCATCGTTGGGAAAGAGACTCTCCACTGGAAAAGCGGGACTTCCAACATTTCAGATGGACCTCCTTTTCGCACGTCAAACCGACTAATCATAGAGCACTGCAATAGCAGATCATACACAGATGCCTGCCAACTCCGGATTGGCTAACAACAAGAACAGACTTAGAGGCAAAATGACAGCTCTCCCCGCTGTGCATGTACTGTGCCAACTCCACACCACGGAAGAGAGCTACCTTGGAACAATGTCTATTAGACTTCACAATGGTGACTCAAGTCTGGAGCTGGTCAGACGCCGCCTGGCACTATCTCACGGGGGAACATCTGCCATGGGACATTCGTACCCTTCTGCTGGGAGGTCCCCCAGAAGGGGGAACAGACTGGACACCCTTCATGATAAACCTGTTCACATACTCCAGACTAACGGTGCTAATGGCTGCCTGGAGGATGCGATGTGCGTACAAATGGAAGCAACATGACTTTGGTTTTATGCAAGCACGGGTGACAATCATAGACACCATCACAGCTAATACCCAGGAGGCCTGGAGACATGTGCAATCTGAGCTACGGAAAGAACCAGATGTGGCTAGAAAACGACATATATTGGACGTCTTCAAAGCCACCTGTTTTTTTGTTTTTTTGTTTTTTTTTTTGACAAAAACACGTGCTCCATCTATTGGTGGGGAGCAGCACCTGCTGGAAACCGGGTCCAGCGTCCCATAGATACAACCATGTCCTCTCGAATTGGCACAAGCYGGGAACCGGGCCCAGCGTCCCATGAGTACRTTCAGAAAAACCATCAGAARMTTTCATGGCAATAACCCTAGGAATATACTGAGAAAGTCCAATTTGAAGAATTGAAAGAATTCAGAGCTACTTCAGAGCTTTTTTTGTGAGGAACTACAGAAACAAAAAACAAAAGAAGACTCGGGAATCCACCAACAGTCCTCCTCCCCCCACTCCGGCAAGGCTTACTGCAGCAAAGCCACCATCTCTACTGCTGCTATGCCCTATTTCTGTCCTACCAGCTAGCCCCTTCACTAGCAGGACGCGCGATAACTTTCTCTCTCGAACCCTTTCCTTCCCGTTACTCAGAAAAGGTACGGGAATAGACTGCAAAAGTCCTAAAAAAGCCCCCAATCCCGCAAAATCCCTAACAGATCCTTCCAAGGATCTCCAACACTGTCGTATTCCCTGCCGAGCTTCCAGGCCTCACACCCCCCATCCTTCTGGGTTACAGGGCAACACAACTCACCCCAGCTCCGGCCAGTGTCGTCTCAGCAGCAACCCTTGGTTGTCCCGTGGGATGCCCCCCCAAAGCACCCCCAGATCTCTCTACCAGGCCTCATGCCCCTGCATCAGCAGGTTACAGGGCAACACCCCAGCACCGGCCAGCGTCGTTCTGGCGTCGAACAGCCTTAGGTCACCGAGTATTACAGCCTTGAACTACCTAGAAGAGATTGCCAGGAAACCCCAGGATCCGGAAGACAGTTTAAGACAGAACAGACTACCCCTTTTTGTGAGAACTTGGATTTAACTGCGTAAAATTCGTAATTGAAAACATAGAAGAAGACCTGGCGGGTCCTACAGATGCTCAGAAACCCTTGGAATCCCTAACGCCCCTTCCGAGGCCTTTCAACACTGTCCTACTCCCTGCCGAGCTCTTCCAGGTCTCACACCCCACATCCTGCTAGGTTACAGGGTGACACAACTCACCCCAGCTCCAACCAGCGTCGTCCCAGCAGCAAACCTTGGCTGTTCCGTAGGATGCCCACCCCTAAGCACCCCCAGATCTTTCTACCAGGCCTCATGCTCCTGCATCACAGGTCACAGGGTAACACCCCAGCTCCGGCCAGCGTCGTTCTGGCATCGAGCAGCCACAGGTCCCTGAGTATAACAGTGTCAAAAATCACCTAAGAAGAGTTGCAAGGGATCCCAAGCACCTGGACGAACAGCAATGGGAGATTGTGCACCCTTGACAACGCCCACTTTCTTAAGTGGCAGCCTTGGCTGTCAACGGAGAGGCAGTGGGAAAGGCTGCCGAGGCACCACGTTCAGATAGTATACCAACCTACAAATTTTGTTCTCATTTCATCAGCGAACTGTGCCCAACACCCCACCCACCTCACCCCCGACCGCAACCCCCCTCAGCAGTCGCCCGCCCCCTCCCTGCCACCCCTGCCTTCTCCCATCCCCCTTGTCCCTCTCCCCCCCCCTCCTCCCCTCTCCGCCTTCCCCATCCTCCCGGCACTGCCCCCTCTGCCTCAGCTACCTGACCTTCCATCTCGATTGCCGGCCAGGGATGTCCGAGAATAGGTCAGCTAAGCAGGGCGGAAGGGGAAACAGGCACAGTCTGTTTCAATTTCATTCTGTGCATTATC